GAGGCGCGACGCCAACATCGGCACGCGCATGCGTCGCCGCACACGGCCGCACCGGTCCAGTTGGCGCACCGCCGCCTGCCAGGCGTCGGCGTGCAGCGATTGGCGCACGCAGTCCATGACACACTTGGCGTTCTCCGTCTCCACGTGCGTCACCACCGGGCCATTGAACTCCGCGTCGAGCGCTGCAACTTGCTGCTCGCGCCCGCCAATGATGCAGAGCGTCACTTGCCCCGTCACGCGGTCGAACGTCACCGTCTTGCGCGCGGAGCGCACACCGGTGTAGATGGCGAAGCGCGCATCAACGTAGCTAAGGAAGTACACACCCTTGTACTGCTGCGTCTCGGAGTCGTCATTGACACGTATCGTGTAGTTGAACTGGTAGCGTCGCACAGACTGGTGCTTGCGCAGAATCCGCTGCACCACACGCGCCACGGGAACCTCCTTGTCACGTGTTGTGGCCGCGCGCACGTGCTGAAGTGCCGCCAGTAGCGGCAGCCGGTCCTCGGAGTGCACAGCGAAGTACGCGCTGGTCCACACCGACATGATGGGCGAGAGGCGACGTGACAGCGGCATCAGTGTGTAGTCGCCGCACTGCGCTGCTTCTCGCAGCGTTTCGAAAAAACGCGTTGGACCGCCGTAGAGGCCGCTGCCCGTCGCCATGTCCGCCAGATCCAGCGCAGAGATGGAAAATACGCGTGCGAACACGTACAACAGTGCATTCGCACACGGAGAGGGCAAGACGAGCCGCATGACACCAGAAAAGGGCGAGGTGTCAGTGGTGAGCGGCGAGTTGCACCAGCTGGTGTCTTCTGTTGCAGCAGCATTCGCGCCTGCAGATGTCTCGCCTTCTGTTGAAGCTTGACAGTTACCATCTTTAGTGTTGTTTATCTTACTGCTGCGGCTACGATACGAAGTGCGTTGTGGGTACAAGCCGTGGCGGTCCATCCACACACCAATGCGCTCTGCATGCTCTGCCGCACACGGCTGTGAGTCGAACACACGCGCGAGCTCTAGCGCCACAATCATTGCGGTGTGCTCAGGTGACAACCCGCTTGACCCTGCAGAGGACGAGGGGGACGAGACACACCTTCGCCTCCGGCGCAGCGCCATCATGTATTCCGCTCGCCCTTCTGCCCGCTGCGGGTGCCACAGCACGCTGGGCACCGCGAAGACTGCGGCTACCGTCATGACGTTCTGCAGGTACTGCACCGCCACTTGACACGATTCAAAGAAGTCCGAGAGCGACACACCAATGAGGGCGGCGAGCAGCTCCACATCCACCCACTGCAACTCCTCCCGCTCCTCGCCCCTATCCGACCCTGCAACAACAGCAGCAGCAACTATCGCCTTGCCTTGGGCTGCTCCTCCCACCGGCGTGAAGCCAGAGGGGGCGAAGGCAGTAAAAGCATTGGTACCGGTAGCAACCCCATCACATGCATCCTCAGATGCGCGGACGCGACCAGCGAGTCGAAATAATGGAAACGGTGCGGGAAAGCGGTGTAGCACTAAGCTTAGGTACAGCGCCCCTCCCCGCAGCACCGCGGCACTGCTGCTCGACATCCCTGGTAGCACGAACAACAAGGCCAGGTCGTAGGCGGCACGCAGCACTGCTGCGAGGCTTTCCCCAGCAGGAAACACGACACCTTTGCCACGCTCCATCAATTGCATCCGAGAGAGCCACTCGTAGAAGAACATGTACAGCGCCACGGTGCCGCCCCCACCCGATCCCGCAGCTGCACCGCCAGCCTCCTGCGCGTTGCCACCCCCGTCGCCGCCACCATCACTGCCACCGCCGTCGTCTTCGCCACCGCCATCGTCGTTCTCCATTGCAGGCAGATCCTCCACAATGTCATTCATTGATGTCGTGCCGGCGCCGGCGCCGCAGTGCCAGCACTTCATTTCGCTGTCCGCCGACGGCACCCACGCGTCCTGCATTCCACACTCAGTACAGCAGGGCGGCCGGTACGACCACCACACGAGGTACAACATCTTGTCGTACAGACGCCACGTGTGCCGCGTCAATGGATCCTCCAAGACGTCGCAAAAGGCTCCATTGGCGAATGGATGCTCCTGTTTCAGATGCTGGTGGCTTTGGTGGTTGCTGTGATCACTGGTGCAAGGTTCAATAGGGACAATGACACCGTTTCTGCCACTCAGCACGCCGCTCGAGGATACAAGCGAGGAGGAGCGCGAGGAGAAGGAGTGCAACACGGCCTCCACCAGCTCGCATAGGTCCAGCAGCTGACTGCGCTTCAGCGGCGTGAGATGCAGAACCATCGCGCCAGCGTGTCAGCAGGTGGTGAAAAAGTAAAAGGGCGTATCGCGTGTGTATATGTGATTAAGTGAGTGAGCGTGTGTAGAGAATCCACCTTCACCAATTAATATCCCTCCTCCCTTTACCTTTTCTGCACAGGGGGAAGAGACAGACATGAAAAGATTGAAGTGTGGTGTGATGAGAGCGGATGGAGCAGTGGGGCAACGCCCCGTCCGTGCCGCGCTGCGCTTTTAAAACACCACCATCCACAAAATGAGTGGATGAGCGAGCACATGAGTGATCGTTTGTATATAAGTATATATATATAGCACGTTAGTAGCGGCGGAAACAGTACGGCAAAACGACAACAACAACAAAAAAGCAAGATGACCAGACAAACGAAACAAAATTACAGATACCAAAACTGCGCCGCAGCCAAACCACTCGGCTGCACTTCCATTGAACTCAATGGCTTTTCGGTCCCTCTGCCCCCCTCCAGACCGTTCACACACAGACGCACACAGACAGAATAGTCTAGATCTCACCCCCACCCCCCGCCCCAACGAAGAAGAGGAAGAAGCAACAAAAACATATGCCACTTTTCGCACCTTGTATCCGTCACACATTGCATTCAAAGCCACAGTCTAAAAGGGATTCGTATTGACGCCTTCATTAGTAATACTGACTAAAAGAAGACTCTAAAGGCATCTTTAACTCACCTTACGCACAAAGCGGATAGAGACGGATGCGGCGGGCCTTTCAAAACTGACACTTTGCAACAATATTTGCAATAAAAATAATGGAAAGCCCCACCGCGATGTGCCAAGCGTAAGATTCGACCATTTCTCTCGCAGCCTCCCCCACCCCCCAAAAAACAACAACAACAACAACACCGAAAGAGAGTGAGAGAATGGGCGACGCTCACATGCAGCAACCTGAGACCGTGTTGCCCTTCACATTATCCCCGCCTGTGCTCTCCCCAAACCCACGCAGGTCCATCTGTCGCCCCTTCGCAATGGTGTGTGGGGAAAACGTCACCAGCGGGAATCGTCGCGCCGACGCCGACGATACAGCAGCGGCACCATCAGAAGGTGTTAAAGGAGGCGATTTTCCTGTCCCCACGGCGGCGAGTCGCTTCGCCTGCTGCACCGCGCTGAGCGACAGCACTAGCTGCATAAAGGCGTGCGTGACTCCCTCGCCGTTGAGCGCAGAGGCGGTGAAGTGCCGCATCCCCAACGCGTGAGCAACTTCGTCCGCCTCCTCGTCGCTCACGACGCGCAGGTTGCGCAGGTCCGTCTTGTTGCCCAGTACAATGCAGACGCAGTCCTCACACGCGTGCTGCCACACGTGTGCGGCCCACATAGGCAGCCGTAGCAGCGTGCTGTCCCGCGTCACGTCGTAAACCAACACAGCACCCACAGCATTGCGGAAGAAGACCGTGCTGATAGCTGTGCAACGCTCCTGCCCGGCGGTGTCCCAGAGCCGCACCAAAACGCGCTCCGTTTGTCCCACACGCGCCGTTGGCACCTCCACCTCGCGCGAGGTGAACTCCACGCCGAGTGTGGGCGGCGTGTGGATGTCAAAGTGGTTACAGGCAAAGCGGGAGAGCAGATTGCTCTTCCCCACGCCGCAGTCCCCGACAAGGAGCACTTTGTACGTCGGGAAGAAGGCGGACACAAAGCTTCTGGTGCTGCTGGCGGTTGGTGCTGGCACTGCCAGAGGTGGAGGGACGCCGTAGCATTGGGTAACATGATTGATCTTGTTACTATCGTTGCTCTCGCTCATGTTCTTGCTGCTGCATCTGCCTCCTCCAGGCGGTGCCAATGGTGAAGGGGAGAGGGCGCGATGACCATCTACAACCACTGCCTCCTCCTCCTCCTCTTTCGGCTTCCCCCATTTTTCCACCTCTTTCAGCCGCTGTGGCGAGGATGGCATTCCTCCCTCGCCCAGACCTCACCGCGCTGCCACAACACCACAGTGTGAGTATTAATGGGAGGAAATGATAGGAGAGAGAAGATGGTAGAGGAGAGACAAAATAACCGAAACGCAACGTTTGTTAACTGCACACCCACACCCACACCCACACAGACACTGGCTTATCCCTCTCCCTACTTTACACTCTCAGAGAGAGAGAGAGAGAAGAGAGAAATTCTCAAACAGACGCCCACACGGTGAAGATGCAGCTCCTCACGCACGCCCACAGCAGTAGTAGTCATACCTCTGCCGCTGCTGCCACTCCGAAGAAAAACACCGCCCCTTCCACGCGTATGCACATGGGCGCGCACAACAACAATGACCAACACACACACACGCACACAAACACGCAAAGTGAGGGGCGCTACATTCGTGCCGCGGGATATGAGACGATAAGATCCAAAAAAAACAACACACATATGCAAATAAGCATACACACCCACCTCATTCAACTCAAGCCACAAACATCGCTAGTTTTCTGCAGAAGCGCAAATAAACATAACGAAAAACGAACACCAAAAATGATTGCCCTCAAGGACGGTCTACAGATGACGCTGCTCTCTCCTCACGTGTCTGCTCCACATTTCCTGCACGCTCACCGCACACCCGACTTCCCAGCGGAGTGCGGCGCCGCCAGTGTGCGAGTCGCTGACGAATCATGCGCTCCGCGGTCCGTGGCGCCATGCGCACGACACTCCCCGCCTCGTCAATGACGTCACTGATGGAGAGCACGTGGCGAATCGCCCATATATGCAGCCGCAGCCTCTGCCCGTTGCTCGAGCGCAGATAAATGTCGTCGTTGAAGACCCATCGGTGCGCAATCGACACAACGTACATCTCGAGACAGATGAGGATGTTCTGCAGCGCCGCCGCGAACTCCTTCGCGGAGAAGAGGTGCGTGTCAGGTATCACATTATAGAAGACCAAAACGGAGAGCAGCACGCCCTGCCAGAAGGTGAGGAACACAACGGCCTTGATCGCTAGGAACTTCACCGTCGGTGAGTACACCTGCATGTACGCCTTGGTGGCGAAGTAAAAGTACACCAGCGCCGTGAGCGCAAACGTGACGCTGATTGTGCGTACCAGTGCAAAATACGGGTAGAAGTCCTTCACATAGAAGAAACCGTCGTGGTAGTAGCCGTTGAAGTACAGCGGCACCGTCACGAGGGTCAACAGCGGGTTCACAATCATGTACTGTGTCAGAAAGAGCTTCCACAGGAAGAGCGTACCCGCATTCAGCGGGATGGGCGCGAGGAAATAGTTCATAGGGAACACATGAGGCATAAAGCGCGTAGGCATCATACCTGTTTCGCTCTGCTGCCTTGACGACAAGAGAGGCAACTCCAATTCCTTTGTTGCACGGGGACTCTTATTGGTTTCTGGTGTTTTTTCTCTTGTCGGTTCTGCAACAGCTACACCCGTACGAGATCCACCACTCGTGTTCATCTCATTCACCTGAGGTTTTTGCTGACCTACTTCTCCTTCTCGCTTATTGCGTGTGCACTCTGTACGCCTTGCCCTCGTCTCAGCTGCACTGGAGCGAAGGACTCCCTTGCTCTCGCCCTCGTTATCATCATCTTCCAGCTCAATGTAGCCATCCCCAGTGCCGTATTGGCTCCACAGGTACAGCACACGCTCCTCACCTTCCAAGTACTCCATCAACAGGAAGTAGAACTGGTAGATGACGTACGCCTCATACGTGTCTCGGATGAGCGCCACAATAGTGGCAGCGCGATAGATCAGGAGTGCGATGAGGGAGTCCATCGCGTAGACCGGAACAAGGAGAATGATGCGGCAGATCAGCCTCTGCTGTGAGGGACAGGTGTAGGCCGTCAGGTGACACAGCACCAATAAACCTGTCATACCCAACGCGGCGAAGGACGCCACACCGCTAATCCAACATAATGCTTTGTACGCCCCAACGTCGGCACGAATGTACAAGACAATGAAGAGCCCAACAATGGTTAACACCACAGGCACAGACAACAGGAAGAACAGTAGATGCATGCGGTCCACAATTTCCGGGCGGCGACATGGAGTCACGCGCCCGTCTTTACCGTGAAAGCAGTCCTGCAATCCCAGCTGTTGCTGTTGCTGTGAATCGATCGGCATACCATCAACCTCACTGGGTCTATACACTATGGGGCAGCCGGAGTCAGGGAGAGCGTGACCCTGACGTTGCCGCTGTTGTTGTTGCTCCAATGGAAGAGCTGCACTCACCGCTTTGTCATCTGGAGACATCAATGTATTGCGTGCGCCCGCACGTTGTGTGCCCTTCCTACACCTTCCCTCCTGCTGCCCTTAACAGAGTAAGCGAGTGGAGTGACTCAAAACAAGTGTAAAAAGGTGAAACACACACACACGCACACGCAGACACAACGAAAAGAACCAAGAGGATCTGCGAGGGGGAGAGTATGGCGAAAAACTCTGAGTCAATGAATAGAGTGGATACAGTGGTGGTATCGGGTGAAAGATCTCTCCCCACAAATTCCACCACACTCATGCGTGTGTGCCTCATGCCATCAGGTCCAGAAACGCGCTGGCGTTCTCCACCGCCTCCTTGTCTTTCTTCCTAAACACGTCATAGCCATCATCCATAGCGTACACTGCGTTTGTGTGCTGCTGCGGCGTAAAGTCGTCGCGCACCACACCAGCATACTTGTCCAACTCTCCCACCACCTGCGGCGCATAGTGAATCTCGCGGATGCGCAGAATCGTTGCGGCGTGTGGCGCGTCGACCCAACGCACACGCCGTCGTCCCGGCGTGGCGAAGAACGACACAACGTTGCGCATCCTCTTCTGCTCCTCTACGTCAGCTGTCACCCGCACATTCTCCAGCAGCGGCCGGCCCACTGCAGTGAAGCGTTGACCCCCAACCATCAGCACCTTCTTGAGTGCAATGCGGCTGCCGATCTCCGCACGCAGCCGTTGCACCGCAATGACGTCGCCCACCGCCACCTTGTATTGATGATTGCCACAGTACACAACGGCGAACCTCGGGCCGTCAAGCAACGGCTGCAGGGTTTGCGCGAGAAGGGAGTTCGCGCAGTGCACACGGTTCATGCCCGGACGCCTCCTAGAATATCTGTGACGATGCACTTTTGCTTCCCTTCTCCTTTTTCTTTTTACGTTGCTGCTGTAGCAGTAACAACGGGTGGGGGAGAGATCCAAAGAAAACAAGACAGAATGCACAAGATAGAGGGGAGAGCACGAGCCTGCCATGATGCACTTAGTGCGATGGACAGCCCATCTTACTTCTACTCAAGCATCTATACCAATTTGCTCATCCAACTCTCACTTTCACTCACGCACCCTCTTCGTCCTCACCGTCAAGGTGTCAGCGCACTTTCAATGGCCGACAACGACTGCAGATACCAACCCAACGAGCGTGGCTCTGTGGGATTCCTTTTGCCTTCCCCACTGTTGTCGTCCACCGTCGCAAGCATCTGCGAGTGATCCCCATTACGAACAATACTGTTGTCCGAATTCGGTGTCACTGCATGATATCCTCCCTCACTAGGCGCAGAAATCACAGTGGGCTCCGCCTGCTGGTGATTTTTCCCAGTGGCCTTCCCCTCCAGCCGATTAGGTGAGGTGTAAAAGGCACTCGTCAGTGCGGCGACATCACCTGCCCCTTTTGGTGCTGCAGACAACACGCCAAATTCCCGCGAAATGAGCGGTGGCGGAGGCGGTATCGGCATACCGAGTTCCCGCTGCAGATGCAGAAGTGCGTGGAGCTGCGCTACCGTCTCTGTCAGCGTAGCACATGCTACCTTCTTCTGTCGCAACGCTTCCTCCAGTTCCGCGACGCGTCGCCGCTTCTGGTGCAATTCATGGCGCAATCCACACGGGTCATACACCTCCACCAGGCCCGGCCGCATCGACGCTTCGTCCAGAGGCAACGCCGGATCATTGTTACAGTGCTGCTGCGGCCCAACGCTCCACTGCTGGAGCAGCAACTTACACCGTTGGTCCATGGCGCACTCCCACGCGTCAAAGGAGTTCACATACGCGGCCGACAACTGCGACAGTCGGTGAAGAAGTTGTGCCGTGTGCAGATCTGCCGACGATTGCGCCTCGCGGTACTGCTCGATACGCCTCGCCATACCTGCCACCTCCTCCACTGTCTTCTGCGTGGCGTGGGCCTGCTGGTGGACGGTCTCCTCCCAACGCCGCGCCTCCTCCTGCGACTGCTGCAGCTCGGAACGCAAACGGCAAAGTTCAGTGCAGAAGCTAACGGCCACCACCGACCACTCCTGTTGGAGAAGTTCGCAACGAGCCATCATTGCATCGTTCCACACGCTAAAGGACGCCAAATGCACCGCCTCAACGCAGTGGAGGCGACGCAGCGCTTCCTTCTGCTGCAGGACGAGTCGGTCGCATTTCAGCTGCAGAGTTTGTACCTGTCCTCTCGCGGCTACAAGGGCTTCCTCCACACGATTCACTTTCGCGGACAGCTGCGCCGCCTCTTCTGCTGACTGCGCGGTGGCCACGATGCGGGCCTGCTGCTGTGTCGTCTCCGCCTCACGCATCTGCTCCCTCGTGCAGTCTAGTTCCCGCCGCAGTACAGCACTTTTTTCGTGAAGGGCGGCTATTTCCTGCTGCAGAAGCTGCCGCACCTCTGCCTCCTGTCGCGCCGCGTGTGTTTCCGCCACGTTTGCCCCTCGTCCATGTGCCGCCGCCGCAACGCGCGCCACAAGAGAGGCAAGCTGCATGCGTCCAACGCGGAGAGCCTCGTGTGGGTCCTCCACGCGGAAGCGCTGCGCATCGTATTCAATGACGTTGCTGCTCCCACCAACACCGTCACAATCACCATTCACACTATGCTCAGAGGCGGACTCACTTACCACCCTCTGTGCCTCGGCCTCAGCAGTGGCCATAATTCCCGCCAACGACAGAGCCCAACGCTCCGCCTCCTCCTGGCTCTGCACACTCTGCTCGTGTGCCATCTGCACGTCATGCTTAGCTGCGTCAAGGCGTTCCTGCAGCGCTTGCCGTTCAGCACGCCACTTTTGCTCATCCGCCGCATAGGTGCGCTGCGTGTCACGTAATGCGGCCCTCTGATCTTTCATTTGTGCCTCTAGGGCGTTGCATCGTCCCTGCAGCTGGGCGAGAGCCTCCAGTGCATCTTGCCGCTGTCGCTGAAGATCCGCAATGGCTTCCACCGCTGCGGTGCCGTTGCGGTCTGGCGTTGGCATTGGTGAGGCTGTTGTGGCGCACCACGAAGAGAGTTGCCGCTGTTTTTGCTGACTCGTCTCCAGGCACAGCTGCTGCTGTTGTTGCTGGTGCCGCTGTCTCCTAAGCGGCGTGGTGGTGTCGTGCGGTGCACGAGTGAGACCGCTGAGCTCCTGCGGCGACGAACTCGACGAGGCGCCAACAGCCGTGAATTCCCGTTCCCCATCAACGCCGTTAGCTTCATGGTAAAGGGTGCGTCTCGTCGTATTCTGGTGGTGCACCATGTCCGGCCCTGTCGCGCACCCATTCACAACTACTTCTGCTACTCTTTCGGTTGCCGTCATCGTAGACGCCTCCCCAGGCAACACATCGTTGATAGAAACATTCGCTGAGTGGCCCCCGCGCGTGTTGGACGACACACTTCTCGCCGCTCGCAGCGAAACCGACAACATCGATTGACGGGAGTCGTTTAGGCTAGCACTGGTGCACTCGACAGTGGTTGTGCTCAGTTTTCGCAGAGCCTCGTGGGCATCTTCGTAGAGACAGAGGAGAACATTGTGGCACGCCTCCAGCTGTTGCTGTGCGTCACGTAACATCATGCTCATCAGCTGCATTTGCCCACTCGACGATGGTGACAACGTGGATGATGATGATGTTAGGGGAAATTGTTGCGGGAGCACATCATCAACGTCGTCCAGCGGCCCTGAAACTCCTCTGTTTTTCTTCGCCGATAGACCACTGACGCTCACTTTTGGCGGCGTCGTCACGAGGGCGTCCGTGTCCCCCTTCTTCTCACTCTCGTGTGGGCATTCCCCCGTCGAATTGTGTGTTGGGGCGATATCGGTCGCTGCACAGCTGTGCTTCACGCGGAAGCCCAACTTCCGCGTATAGCTGTTGTACACCTCCTCGTAGCCCACGCATGTCATCACTAGCTTCTGCAGGCATTTGCACGCCTCCTGCAGATGTGTGTTGAGGACATCGCTGCGCCGCTTGGCCTCGCGCACGGTGGCACGTTGGTGCTCCAGCTGCGCCTCTGCTTGACTCCACCGCTGCTGCAGCTGCGCACAGTGATCCTCCATGGCGAACACCGCCTCACGGGTCTCCGACTCCTTCGCCAGGCTTGCACGCGCAGCCAATACATGTTCCTGCGCAAGCCGCTGCAGCGCGGGAAAAACGGATTGCTGCAAATACTCCGAGATAGCAAAAGCTTTTGCAGCAGGGGCCCACGGCGACACGATGGGGCTCTCCATCATTTGACAGCGCTGGAGCTGGTAATGATGACGATCCGATCGCCCTTCTGCTGCGGCTGTGTTGTTGTCAGCATTACCAGCCATACCGTAGTGGGGAATGAGGGATGCGCTGCAAAACTGCTTCAACTTATCCGTACAGTCCAGTATGGTACGTAGAAAGGTGTTACCTTCTGGATTCTTATCAACTCCATTTGCCCCCACAGCTCCTGTTGCTGGTACTACAAATTCCCTTAATACCTGTGTGGCGCAGTTATTTGCGAAATGTTTGAGGCGCTCTTTCAATGCCTCTGATACCAGCTGGCATGTCTCATTCAACTCCCACAGAGCGAGTTGATAGTGACAGCCACAGTAAATGTCCTGTAGAGAGAAATGACGGGGTGTGAAAGGCCCGTTGAACACATACGGTGCCACGCTTTCTCTGTACGCGAACAATGCCACTCGATGTGCTGTGCGCAATGCATCCTCCACCGTGAAGAGGCGTGGAATGGCCTTCACAGTACTGATGCTACTACCACGCAATAACAAGGGAGGCAGTGGCTCCATGGCACGCATCGCCAGAAGCAGCCCTTCCGCGACAGCCAGAAACAAGTCTACGGCAGGGCGGACTCCATGCCGTATCGCCGATGGCAGCGCTGCGTCAGAGTCGCCTCTTGAGGAACACCACACGTGGCCCAACAGAAGCAACCACTGTAGTGCATCACGAGAGCATGATGATGATCCCCACAAGCCCTCTTCCTCTGTCCGCCGAGGTTGCTGCTGCATGAGCTCACACAACAGATTCGGTAGACTTCGAACATGATCTGCCTTCCCGGTGTATTTCTCCACGGTTACTGGTCCTTCTCCCACGACAGTGTAATAAAAGGACGGACACACAGCTGGACGAGCGGCACAACCAAGGCGAAGGTGCTTCACTTCTGGTACCGTGCCAATTCCCACTTTTGTTGGTGATGATGATGGTAATGCTACTGGCAGTGTAGGGGTGCAGTACACTTTTTTTATATGAGAGGCCATGCGGCTAACAAACACTGGGCGCCCCACAGCATACACAAAGTCTACCACCGACAGAAGTGTTCGCCACATCGGCGACTTGCTCGTACCAGGGAAGCTCTCCTCTCCAGGAATTCCCGCCTCCAACAACATCACACTCCACGTGGACCACCCCTTCTCCTCTTCACCCACATCATTTCCGGCAAAGCACTCGTGACCATTAAAGGACTGAATCAGTTCTGATGCAACAACAGTGCGCACAGTGGCACCACCAGATGCCGCCTCTCCGTGCGTCTCACGGCACACGAGCCCTACTAAAAACGGCTCTCGGCTGCTACGAACTCCTGCGTGCATCGACCGTATTCCGGTGGCCCCTGCTACAACTGCTATGATACGCCTTGCTTCTTCTTCCTCTTCCTCCTCCTCTGTTTGTTGACGGACACCTCGCAAGGCGTTTGGCTCCACGTTAGACTCATTCCGCCTCTCATCTCCGTCGTGGCGCTGCCGCAAGTGTCGGCATAATCCACGAACCGCAACTCGAAGTCGGTCCATGTCAGTCATCTCCCTGCTCATCCGTGTATTGTTTTCGTTATAATTGTTGCCACCGCTGCATGCCTTCCAGAGGGTCCCGCGGACCACTTTCTCCACGAAGGCACCATCAAGAGATGGGAACTCTTCCTTCGCCCCTTGGCCTGATGAGTCACTCACATCACCGCCATTTAGCGGAAAAGGAAGACCACACTCACGTACACTCGATGGTGGAACACCCTCAGCCCACAGGCGGGCAGCGTCCATACAAAGCGCCTTCTCCTCTCCACTCCACACAGACGCACGGCACGACACGGACTCTTCGGAAGCCTCATCCCTGCTCAACCGACTGCTCACACGAACCGTTGAGGAAATAAGAGCCTCAAGAGGAACTAATGAAGGCGGATCGCCACACATGTGATGTGATGAGTCCGCATTGAAAGCGTTAGGCTGGCACGAAGAGATATCCACGCATAGATGATTGTTTCGGAAAAGACAAAACGGAGCTGCCATAATTATGTGGGTTTTTGCAGCACCTCCTTTCGCAACTTGCTCTCTCCCCTCTATCTATCTCTCTCTCTCTCTCTATATATATATATATATATATATATCGTTCTATGATTGTCTCGCTCCGATCCACAGAGCCCTTTCGCTTTGATGCAAACCAGTGATACTGGTATGTAGTGCCAGTTACACACCACGGTGTACGTGGCGGAGGAGTAGAGAGAGAGAGAATGTGTGCGAAAAAAAAAAGGATGGTATGACATACAACGCCAGACTTTACGGCAAACGGCTAATACACAGCTCCAATTATTACATCTATAGTAAAATAGTAGTAATGATAGTAATGAGGATTTGGTTCTCGCACCGTCCGCAAACTTGCACACGGGCGGTAGACCACGGTACAATGCACCTTATTCCCTCACCCAGTATCACAGCAAGCGTCATCAGGCGCTCTGTTCGGGCACCCTACATTACCGTTCACCGCAGCGGGTAATGCAGATGCATTCCACCTCCCCACCCCCCAAACAACGGCCATTTAGATACTGATTTAGTTATGAATAACTTAGCTTGGCGAAGCGGCATTGTTTCTGTTTGGAGGTTTGTATACTCCGGCAGACGGCCGGTCTGTTGGTGGCTTATATGCCCCTGCTGATGGACGGTCTGTGGGAGGCTTATATGCCCCTGCTGATGGACGGTCTGTTGGAGGCTTGTATGCCCCTGTTGATGGACGGTCTGTGGGCGGTTTATATGCCCCTGCTGATGGACGGTCTGTGGGCGGCTTGTAAGTCCCCTCTGAAGGTTTATCAGTTGCTGTTTCTTCTGCACCTTGAGAGGGCCTGTCTGTTGGGGGCTTGTATGCCCCTGCTGATGGACGGTCTGTTGGTGGCTTGTATGCTCCTGCTGACGGACGGTCTGTAGGGGGCTTATATGCCCCTGCTGACGGACGGTCTGTAGGGGGCTTGTATGCTCCTGCTGATGGACGGTCTGTGGGCGGCTTGTAACTTCCGCCTTCAGCTTTTGTCGTTGGGGACGCAGTTGCCTGAGTCAACTCTGGCGATGGATCTTTCTTTACAGGCACATTCCCGCTCACCACATCCTCCAGCGTTGGCAGGTCTGCTGAGCTGAGGTTTATACCGCGCGCCAACGTGCCTGTTGCCTCGCCGTTCCCACGTGCCACGAACTTTCGCGCTCCCGACTTTTCGGCAGCCTTTGCAAGGAGGTCCTCGACAGATCCGGACTTTAGCTTCATGTCTTCCCAGCCCTTGGCCTTTTTCTCGGAAGTCTTGACTACTTGCATTGCAACTTCCGTGGGGATTTCCTTCTTGTTCAAAGCATCGCCATCATCATCACCACCACCTGCAGCCCCAGCTTCTACAGGCGCGAGGCCTGACGGCGCTGCAGCCCCTTCTGGGTTTGCAGGAGGTGGTTCAACCGTCCCATTGTTGTTGTCGATGTTTCCGCTGCTCTTCGCTTCCATTGCTTGAGTCGTCGGCAAGACGCTTGTACCGGCACCATCGAGCCCGCCAAAGACTTCTATGCCGAGCTCCGCACGTTCCTTCTCGGAGAGCTCGCCAGTCTTGGCCTTCTTCTTGCCACCCGCGAGTTTCTTACTCTTCTTGTTGAGAAACGAGTCCAAATCCGTCATTGGCTTGATTGCGTATCACGAGGTAGTGTGCCGGCGACGTCGCGGCCGCACCGTCACACGGCTCTTTTTTTCGACGCGTGCACGCGTTTGTTTGTGTGAGAGAGAGAGTGGGTTGAAAAGAGAGAGACACAGGAGGAGAGAGAGAGTGCGTGTGTGCACATGTGCGTTGAGAGGCCACGGCAGACGCGGGCGTCCCACCGCCACCAGGCACACCGGCCCGAGCCGGTCCGACGGGTGCCA